ACGATTCTCATACGTACGTGAATCGCGATTGCCATAACGAAAATCATTACGAGTATCACGGTTATTATTATAACGATTATCAGTACGGATATCTGATTTGCATACGTATTCCTGCTATTACTATATCGGTTATTACTGTACTGATTGCTACGGAAATCATTACGATCGCGAGATCCACTACGTTCCCGAAAAGATCTAAATTTGTCAAAGATCTACTTCGGTCTCGTCTGTATTCATACGCATTAACTGCTTGTGCCGTACTCACTTGCATAGTTTCTTTCGTTTCCGACTGGTCAATACGTGCCAGGTTACTTAAAACTCTACGCATTTCCGGAATTGTGTTCACTTTCGCTACCCTGCTAGGAGCTTACGATACTCGACATTACTGTCAATAGCTCTACGTATTTCAGCAATCTTATCCTCTTCCGCCATATTCGGATTAATTTCCTGCATTAGGTCTAACATCTCATCAAAAAATTCCTCTACATTTTCACCAGGCTTTAAGGTTTTCTGTGCCAGCTCCATACGCTTTACTTGCTTATAATCGTCCGGCAGATATCGCATACACATAATTTCTTTCCACTCTGCATACGATTTTCTGCTGTTTGCCGACCACATACTTTCAAAGAATTTGCGCGGACCTTCTTCTAAATACGAAAGCAACATACTGATACGCTTTGCCGACGACCAGTTCAAATTATCTGCTACGCGGTCAAACTGCTGAAAGAATGCTTTAATACTGTGGTTCGACTTGTTTTTAAATTTTTCGATCGTATGTTCTTTTGTTACATTTCTGATGTTATTATTTATGACATACGAATTCAATGCCGAAATTAACGAATTAATATCTGTACTTGTTACGTTTTGCGAACTTGCAATATTTCTGTCGGTTTGGTTACGTTCAGTATTAACCGGCTCATACTTAATCTCATTATCAGTTGTCTTCACATCAACTTCAGTTTCTTCGTCTTCTACGTTAATAGTTCTATTCCTCAAATGCATATTTTTCTTGTCAACTCATTCACGATTCCGTAGTTCATTAACGTTTTCCGCAATTTCCGCATCTTTAAACTTTAACAATTTCGATACAACTTCTAGATTTTCCGCTGATAAGTTGCTTTTCAAATAAGTCACTGTACGATCAATTTCTGACTGTGTGACTTGCTCTGTGCGCTCACTTTCCGAGACATTCTCTACATTCTCTATCCTTTACCTCTACGCCAATAATCCGATTCCTTAATGTCTGCAGTTGTTTTTAGATCTTCATACGAAATTCCAGTCTGAATTACGGTAATTGGCAATATGCTCTGCAGCTTCATTATTATTCATCGTTACTTTAATACTGCATTAATTCTACTGGCAATTTCGTTAACTTTCGCCCGTTTCACTTGAGTCAACAACTCTACGATCTGTCTGCGCTCTGCTTCCAGTTCCTCATCTTTTGTTCTATCAGCGCTGCCTCGCGCTGTCGGTTCAGTGGTCGACATGCCGGCGCACGCTTATCAAACTTTACGATCTTAAGCTTACATGCAAATTTTGCACGTCTAGGCACGTTTCGGAAAATCCTCATGAGAAACGAAAATTCTGCCCTTCTACAAAACTTTCATAAAATACAGCAGTTCTCAAAATTTTCAGATGGATTTCATACGAATTCAAACCAGAAATTTTCATAAACTTCATACGACTGCATCAGAAGTAAACCATAGGAGTATGGACACACACAGATACTGCACTACGTTAAAACGTCAGTCCTCAATACGAGTAAAATGTCTCTCCAATGCGTAGGTTTTTCACACATAAAATCTGCCTCAAAACCTCACAATCTTTACGATTATAACTTAGGGATAATGGTGCTTACCCTTACGTGTCCGCTCCTGCTCTCTCCACCACTTGTAATCCGACCACGAGATTCTGTACGCTATGGCTTCCGGATCCGAGGTACTCTTGATGCTCTGATGCACTTCGCTCTACGTCCGCTATTCCAGCTCGCATACGCTTCGCACCACGATTCTGCACTACTTTCCTGTTCTTCTACATTAGGAGCTGATGGGGCTCTTTGCGATCCCTTGAGTCAGGAAGCGCATACAACGGAAGCCTGACGGTGAGCTCCCGTTTACTGTGGGTTGGCTACACGCCGCGCCACGACGCTAAACAGACCGATGTTGGTGGTTTAATCTCAAAACAACATCAGCTCACAGCAATCAGGATAGATCTTACTGTTCTCTCTGGATGAAGGGAAATGTGAGGATGAGAAACGACAGGTCAAAACGAACGATCGATCGACAGGTTGCCCATGGACCAATTTATTAGAATTCAGGAAGTTATTCCATCACCGACTGATCAGCGTCCAATTTCATCATCTCACATCACACCGTTAAACACCGTAAAACACTAGCCAGCTGTGACTCATCAATCTCAAACAGACTGACCAATCAAATAAAGTTTTAATTGTTTGAATTTAACAACAGTCGCTATAGTATTCGTGATTCATAGTAACATATCTGTACAATGCTCCGTAAAATAACAATGAGCTTGCGCAGCAAACTGATTCGTAGTAACATACAATGCTCCGTAAAATAACAATGAGCTCGCGCAGCAAGCTGATTCATAGTAACATACAATGCTCCGTAAAATAAGAATGAGCTTGCGCAGCAAACTGATTCATAGTAACATACAATGCTCCGTAAAATAACAATGAGCTTGCGCAGGTAGAAACTACTTAAAATGATTCAAAATTAAAACAGTAAAGACAACTTGCATTGATAGCTCTCCTTAGGGGCAAGCAGCCACCCACTCACGCGATTTATAGTTGATCTACAAACACCAGCTGATCATTTGACGGCATAAGCGGTAATGAAGAGAGCATCCCCCCTACGCAGATTTTTTCTGGTGTTGCGGACGTACGTCAGTACAGCCGCTTCCTGCGGAGCTATCGGAGATCTGAATACTCTTACCGTAGTGGTCTTGTTTGATTCTGGATTCACCATTTTCCGTGAAATACAATCCATCAGTCACTTCATGAACCTTAATCTCTAATTCCAGTTAAAGAGCCAAAAGCAAATCCCCCATATTTATATAGAATTACATACATATTGGCGAAGCGGAAAAGCTAAATGAACTCTGGATGTTATAAAGTGTTGTTTTTTCGCTTGCTTGTAATGGTTGTCGTTTTTTGATACATGTGTACCTCGGTTTTCAAATAAGAATAAATGCGCAGTGCAGCCATTACATACAGAATGGTGAAAAATATTTTTAAAAAAAAACTGAATCTGGAGGGCTGCATACCCGAATTTGAAATACCTTAATACAGTATTAATTAGATTACTGCATATACATGTCGATCCTGATGCTGAGAGCAAGCGATATGATAGCGTTTTTTTGGTGCCAGTCGCAGTAATCAACCATTTATTTGTGCTTAACGATTATTAAAACACGGTGAAACAAGTTATTTCGAAGTTACTGTAATTGTAAACAGTTTAAACAGTTGTAAACAGAAGTTAATTGTAAACAGTTTTTGCGCATTTTTAAACCAAAGTTATGTATGGGCACCAATCTAAAAATGAACTTGTTTGCGAATTTTGCCCGCATTTGGTATCGTAAATAAACGGGATTTATCACAATAATTATTTGGGATTATCAATCGTAATCGGGCGATTTTACGGTTTCGTTTGCGGTTCATGAGGATTCTGTTTGCGAGTGTCTTAGCTTGACCAGTTCAGAAGTGAGACGTCCAGGCAACCGTTTTGTTCTTTCCCTTCACAATACTATAAGCTATATATTTAAGCACCAAGATACGGGGGCATGTAACCATTATCCCATAGTTCCGTTTTCGAAAGTTTCTTTTCGTGATTACAGCAGGCCAGACGTTTCCGCTACGTACGAGTGCAACGGGATTGAATTTTATTCCATACGAACTTGTTGCAAGTCATCACGAAACCCAGTAATCGCATACAGTACGTAATCGGGCCAGAAAACGTTTTGAACTGCATTTATTTAAAGCCATCGGAAGTCGTTTGTTCATTGAATTGCATTAATCTATTAAAACTCATTGAAAGTTGTTTGTTTATTCTGCCCGGGGCGGGCAGTTTATTCTACAACAATCAGGACTGCTCCTGCAAGGAGGCAGACTACCGCTAACAATAAAAAGGCCAGACAGTTTAAGAAGTACTTAGCATTAATTACTGTATGGCGGGATACACTTTTCGTTACCTTGGTTATAACAAGCAGCGGTGATCGCAATGGATGAATTTCTGTGTCCATTGCAAATTTTTTTTCATCAGCTTTCGGAGATTGAGCCCTCTGTTCATATTAACGTAATAATTTCAGAAAGAGCGATTTGACAGCCGGATGTTCTGAAATTGTAAGCTACTAGGTCGGATCCTTTCAATACGATTTGCTAACTGCAAATGAGTAATTTTTTCCAGTTTACAGTTTTATTACTACACCTTCCGCCCGGTTTAAAACCCTCGTTTTAAGATCAGTTTCTAGCTCAACAGCACCTGTTTCTTTCTGCCTTGATCTGTGCGTGGTGCTGGCGCAGGCCGCACAAAGCGTTTCTGCCGGCGTAAGAACCCCATCAGAAGTGGAACACTATTTTTTGTCAACCACAGCAGGAAAGTACTGCCCAAGACCGGTGCATGCCGTACATAAATATCAGCGAGGTATGATAGAACTATTCTTCGGATGCTAGGTCAGTGCAAAGCAGCGGCTGTTGAGGTGGTGGTTGGGAGCTAGTGCAGTAAAGACTGCGTGCGAACTAACTATACTTTCGCTGTTATTTAACGCGAACGTCAATGCAAATCCAGTCACAGTTGCAGTTTTGTTAATAAATACACCGCTGTAACAAACGCTTAGAAAAATATTGCCAACACCAGTAAATTAAAACACAGCTATTATCACATCGCTGGAAAAACAAAAACAACATCGACCGCACAATTAATAATAGAACAAACGCGTCGATCTTTAGTTCTACCAAAACGATTTCGTTTTACCTGAGATCTGTCCTAAAATATTGTCTTTCTTGGCGTAGGATTTCACGTGTTAATCCTTCCAGCCGTTGAAGGCAGCTGTCATCAGGCCAGCCAAAACTCTCCGTTCGCGAGCTGCTCAAATACACTGAAAAAACCGACTCTGTTAAAATTGTGTCAGCATAGATTTAAAGTTTCATAATATAATCGGCTTTTATTAATTTATTTATGTAAACCTAATACATTGAGAAATTGAATATGAAACGAAATGACTAAGTAACAAAAATACGAACCACCAAAAAACAATAAAAGAATTTAACGATAAAGTAAATGAACAGAAAATCATGCATTCCAAATACGGCGAGGCTGCGAAAAATACTGTGCAGTATGTTTGCCAGTATCAAGCAAGTACAGGGATTTTAGCTGAACCACCTTTAACACATACCTTGCGCAATGCGGTCTCGCTCATTCCTGCTGTCCGCCATACGTCGCGAAGTTCAGGATACAATAACGACTGGTGGCAAGTCAAATAAATGAAATCATCTTTAGTAACTGCAAAGATGATAAAAAACAACCTTATAGGCAAGACTTTTGACCCCATGTGCTTCAGCTGAGGACACCAAAACGCCAAACGGTAACTTGCAGTCTATCACTCGAACTGTGGTGACTTACTGTGGCGAATGCGACTCCGCTTTCCGTTGACATGGCTCGTTCATGCCACTGCTTCTCCTCTATGGCTTTTCAGCTATCCCTAGGTTGTAGCGGGGTTTTGGAGGACAAATCAGGAAAGGAAACGCGAGAACGGGCATAAACGTCATCAGCCCAGAAGCCAGGAGAACAAGCAGTCGCTCAAGTTTGCAAGTTGTCCGCAGTTCAGAGCAGTTTGCCCATGGTGCCGAACGTATTATTAAATTTACCGCAAAAGTGAAAACTGCTTTATTAATAAGTTCTGCAGGGTCAGAAGCGAATCGCTGAAACTACAGAAACTTTAAAATTTTACGAAAACGCCAAAATGTTTACTCACTTTACTGACTGCAAAGCCTGAAAACCCGCGTGCACAGCAACCTCTGCGTCGACAGTACGCATTCAAGACGTGGATTGTGCGGTGTGCCAACCGCAGCAGTCGAAAACCACATTATTTTCGGCACGGCCGCCGACCGCCCAGAGCGCTGCTTAAAGTTCCCTACGGCGGTCAGAGGCCAGCGGCTAGTTTTGAAAATGTTGGCTCTAGTGGCCTGCGATTAACATCACAGCTAACGCATGCGTAGCCGCTCGAGCACCAGTTTAGCTGCTTATATGTTGGCAGCGCCCAATTGTTTTGTTAATGGCACCGGAAATACAAATTTTCAAATCTGTTGTGGAAACCGGGCCGTGACCTTCGTTACACCAAGCAGCGGAGCTTTTCCGGTTTACCAATTGTGAACAAAGGTATTTGCTAATTCGGTCAGCCTGATCGAATTAGCAGTACTTTTGTCCAGTTTTCTTTTTTGTTTTTTCGGGGCATTTGAGTTTTTTCTCCCCATGGGGTTTTCAGTCAAAAACAAAGGCCACAAAAACGATTTGTGAGGACGCCTGCAGTGGCTAGAGACCAAGGAATCTAAAATAGTTTTTCCTTTCAGCCACGTGAAGACATTTTCGGCAAAATACACATCGCCTTCCATATGAATTTATATAAAATACAGAAGACATGGAATTTTTGCAGTGAAATATACATAATATTATAATCATAATATGTGTTAGTATGCAGTCGTAAAATTTTGTAATTAGCGAGGCAATTCAAGAAGTTATTTTCAAGTGGCATCAACGATATCTGTACGAATCCTCTCAATTGTTCTTTGTTCATAGATATTTGATAAGCTTATGGAATTTTTAAGAATAACATGCACGTGACGCTATACGTAAGTGGATTATCGATCCCAGTTTCGGGTCTTTTATTCACGATCAATGGAATCTTGCCTGCTGATGTCATCGCCCACCGGAGCCCTGAAGGGCGAGTACGTTTCAGCGTGAGAAAATCTGCAAGATAAAAGAAGTAAGACCACGTAGTGCAGTTATTAGTCGTTGGGGTTTACATCGCAGCTGGCTGTTGTGAGTTTGATTCCAACCTCTGGCAACATTGCGGCATATCTGAGTTTACATATTATATCTAACCACACGCACGGCTAGAGTCAACCAAGAGCATCTTGCTTGGTTGAGTGTTCACTGTTCATTGCGTATTCTCTTAACGAGTAGTTCTTAAAATTTTCTCTTGGTTGTAATTTCTCCTGGAGTGTTTTGCTCTATAAGAGAGGCAGCGATTTGTTTTAGGTGATTGTGTAGGTTACTGAAGCAAAATGAAGCTTTTATGGATATTATGTATTTTCTTCGAATGCTTGGTCTGGTTCGGGCAGGCAATCCCCGACGCCAAGCGGTGCCGGTTCGTTTTCAACAGATTATGGTAAGCGGTCACGGCATATATATTCTAACATCGATTTTTTTGGAAGAGTAATCTGTTTGTGAAGCACCGATACATAATTAAACATACGCGGTGTGTGCTGGGTACAGTGCCCGACTGAAACAACAGGATTGTATTGCTGCATATTTACGTACAGTATTTGGTTCTTGCTATGGGCACTGGACATCAACGTAATCCTTAATAAATATTTATAAACATTATAACAAAATACGGGAATGATGTTATCATCATTCCCGTTAGTTAGACAGTTTAAGAAAGTTTTTTTTTTTAAATTGGCAGGAAAAGAACGGCAACAACAGCACAAACTCAATGGTGTTGATGTACTCTGTTGGGTCACCGAGGTCACTTAGTCTGAAGACGGCGGGACTACGGGATGTAGTCGGGAAGGCGCATCCCAAGGAGGTATCGTCCACTCCCATCTTGTCGAGCCGCCGGCTGAACAATATGGAGGTACGGTTGCCCTTTCAAGTTCCGGTTAGTTCTTTTGTTGCCGAGTTGCTTGTCGGTCAGCTAATGTTTTTGTGGATGTTTTAGATGCTCACTATCGAGATTAATCCCATAGATTTGTGGAGAATGAACCAGAAGCATAGGGCTGGTCATTACAGCAAACCGGAGCAGGTCATGGATGACATGAATCGCATGTTCAATTATTCGGAGATGTACAATCCTCAAGGAACCGTGGATGCGCGGATAATGTACAATTCTAAAAGAATGAAAAAATCCAGCAACTTCTCTTCTGGATACACTTCTACGGAAGCCGAGACGAACAGTTCCTAACTCTTATAATAATTCCCTGGGTTATTCTGATCGTAATAGTCGAAACTTTAATAACTATCATAGCTATAGCAGCACTAGTTTTTTGGCACTTCCTTTTTCCACGGCGCAGATGGCCTTCCAGGATGACCAGAAAGCGCGAGAAGGGTTTGAAAATTATTTGTTATATTTATTTTGCAGTTTTATTAACTGTGTTATTGGGGGGTATTGCCCTTTTCGTAAATCAAGTTAAAGTTATTATCGGTTAACGGTTAAAGTTGTTGTCATTAAATGTTGGAAACAACAGAAATGCTGTCTTAAAAAAAACCGGCAGAACAAACACACGAAAAATGCCCGTCACGTTACTATTAGTACCTCACAAGGTGGTACAGTACATAAAGGCTTCACTTAATTGGTGGTTGTAAGAATGGACTATCAATAAGTGAAAGTGTTGGGACGTTCTACTTTCTGGTTCACTAAATATACCAGTTTTAGTACAGTAAGTATACCACTAAATATACTAGTTCACTAAATATCTTTCCAGTTTTCACTAAACGTAATGCAGAAAGGTCCAGCAAGTCGCCCAACTTAAACTACGGGATAATACTAAAGAATTAATTTTGGTGTGTTCGATGCAACGAAGTGGTGCCTCTCTGTAACAATAAAACAGGTTACAAATAGGTCACACTGAGACTGACCATGATAGCATGATAGAGTTAACACCGTTCGAGCATAAAGAATAGAAAAAAACTACACTATGAAAATATAATCACTCATAGGTACTTTGTAATCACTTCTGTAAACATGCAAAAGAATAGTTAATAAAAGTAAGAAAATAAGTAATAATGAATGGATAAAATTTATAACAAATTAACAGAGCAGATTGGGAAGCGATATCAGACTGCTCATCAATGAAGACACCGAAAAGTAATACATATTTATTAACGAAAGACACGAGAAATGACATACAGATACTGTACATTAGCACTGTAACAAGTTTTCAGAACAATAAATATTGTTAAGCTTCTTCCATTAAGCGCATTCGCAAGCATTACAAAACGATTCGAAAAATTTATAAGAATAAGATGGAGCAGAAACTTGGTTTTATAGATAAGTTTTCATTTAATAGGAACATTTACGGAGACGTCACTGAAGGAGCCGGAAACAGAAATGACCGCATCACCGCGCAAATTACCGTAAATAGTCTCCTTAGCCACGTTCATATCTCGACAGTTGCCACTAGAAAAGGCGATAATAATGCAGTAAAGGCCAGCAAATTCATTTTACGGTTTAAAAAAAGATTGATGGTCGATGGAATGCATATTGAAAGGGATCGCTGAAACGATTGTGTAAAAATTGCTTGAAACGACTGAACAGTTTTGTACAGGTTAAGTACTCCGCTTGTGTTATATAATATGTAATCCACTGCTAGGCAGAACTGGTTGCGGCTGAAACGTTCCCGATCTTTCAGTTTTTAACGAGTACACTTAAAAAGGGTTGCTTTAACAGCGGAATGACGTTGGCATAATAGCGTATAATTAGGTGCTAGTTAAAAGCAATGCAGTGAACGGAACAAGATAATGGAAATGCGTTTCCGATTAACACAGCACAGAAACCGATTCCGGCAGCAAGGTTGACGATCGAACGTTCTTCTACCATCTTTTGTAAATTCTCACCAGCACGAAAACATTTTATCAGGCATGAGTGTCGCGGCTGTCCGTTCGCACAATCGCCCTGCATAAAGCATACTTAGTATACATGTACCATGCACTATACGTTGCTCTTTCTCTGCCTGCTCAGCCTCGCACACGATTCACACAGCACATTCCGGCGGACAATCACCCGCGAACAATGGGATGCGCTTTTCAGCCAATCCACATTCGGCACGGAATCCCGGGTTAGCGTACGCATAATGATTTACGCTTCTTCCCGGAAAACAAGGTGCAGCGGGCGGTCATCACGAAGCCATGTGGACATCCCAGCGGAAATAATTCCGATCCCTTCGGATTGTCCACGCAGCTCGCGACAAATGGCAACAAGATTTCCGATGTCGAGGTACTGGGTATTGGCAGAGCGGCGGGGGTAGTTCGCCGTATAGCGCTGCTAGGAGGAGTACCGTCGCCAAGCCCGAGAATTGTTGGTGGTGCGGATGCGAGCACAGCCGTTGCTTGTTGGCAACTTGGCAGGTAACGAACGACAGAAAAGACTAGGAATGTCATATCTTACACCGAAGCAGCCGCTTCTTGGTGACATGTATAGTAGGCATTTATATCGTCCGTATATATGTGCTTATATTTAACGACGGTAACAATCGGACGATATTATCATATTCGTAATCTGAAAAATTTCGTTTTACAGAAGCACGTTACCTTTTACTATCGTATTTCATAAAACTCGTATTTCTATGCAAAATTATGCAAGCCAACATCTGCATATAATAAAAGAATTGTGTTGTAAGCTTTCATTGTGTCGAACACAACGACCGGTGTCCGACAGACATGC